CTTTTTCTTCCTCAGGCTTCTTTTTCACCCCCATGCAGGTCTTGCTGCCCAGTTCTAGCTATATAGCTCTGTTCATACTCATCTCCCTTTGCCCCTGCACATGCTTAGTGTTTCATGGGCCAGCGCCAGAGAAGGATGGTGGGAACCCTTAGCTTGGTCACAGGACACGGTTCCTTTCAATCCCTCGTGCATATCATGAGAGAGTAGGTAGCAAATATCCTGTGAAGTGTTTCAGAAAGTGCCGAGCTCTTGCTTTGATGCATCCCTGTGATGTACACCTGCAGTGACGTGAGAAGAAAAGTCCATCAAATCACAGGACAACATCATATGTAAGAAGATACCAGGCCAGTCACGAAGGATGACTTTGTGTACATGAAAGTCGTGTAAGTTTAAAATGGAGATCTGATCGTGTGTTGCATCCTCCTGTACCTTTGTCTCTTTTCCTCTGACCTTCAGATTCTCCCCAGAACTGAAGTTCTGCTACTATCTTTGGCCCACTTGTAATTTCTGTTATAAAAGAGCTTTTCTAGCTTCTTCTCAGTTCTCATAGATTTCCCTTGCTGAACCAGCGCTCAGAAGTCGCTTTTAGCGCTGACGGGATATGCATCTATGTGCTTGAATGCCACAACGTCTTCCTCTTTCATCCTCAATCCGGCTTGTTTAATTGTATTATTCCCCTATTATGCAAGAGTTTAGAAAGTGGCATTTGATCTAGTTTGTAAGTATGGTGACAGGCTCTTTGTCAGCAGCTTGTGACTGAGGGGAAGCCACACGTGACGGTGACATCAGTGTGACAGTATAAATCTTGCAAACGTGACTCCAGAAATGCTGAATGTGAATTGAAGGTGTACTAATTTAACTAAATGCGAAATGAAACCGTCTCGTTCTTGGTGTGTCCAAGTTTGATGTCAGCTGTTGTTTCCATGCCCTTTCTTCCTTTTCTTCTTGTGTCAGATGTTGTAGCCTAAAGCTAAAATGTGTTACGCAGAGGAACAGGACGCAAAATAGCGTGACATTTCAACACTAGCACTTGCACTACCGTGAGAGGCGTTATACTGGTCAGCATCGTAGCTATGCAGATAGTTCATCACACTACAGGATGTGAGCTAATGTGCATCTGCGCTCTGGCCTGCAATTAATTTGGACCCCAAATTAAAAAAAGGGGGTTCGAAGAATGCAGCAGGTTGCTATAATTCCTATGGGGATAGCATAACCCTTGTGAATCTCTGAACCTGAAGGGAATAGATCCTGCAGAAGGAAGGATGGCATCGGATGTGTAACTTGGAAGGGTCTCTGGGGAGGTGATGCTGAACTGTAATATCACTAATGAAAATCGAGGCCTCACAGGTCATCGGGCAACGGTTGTTCAGTCAATCTGGGTTAGGCTGACGCTTTAATTGGACTAAATGGATAATGGATACCTGGGTCACTTTACAAGTGTTTGAAGCCTGAGCAGGAGAATTTGAATGGACACAAAGTCTGAGGGTTGCTTTTATTTTGCAGCCTCTCTGCCTGCGTTAGTACTAATGTGCATCTTCAAGAGTACAAGGAACTTTTCCATATTGCTCTTTGTGCCACGCTGATTCCCGCAGAGACTAAATTCTCTATGGCTCTTAGTTTGACAGGCTTTTGAAACTTATTGCAACATGGGTGAAACTTATAAGTCTCCTTATGCCTGTTTCAGAGTTAGACTTTCTCCACCAATCTGTTTGTAAGGCTTGTATCTGTGCAGGGAGGGGGAAAAAAAAGGAGGAGTCATCTCTTATTTTTAAAGATTTCAGGTTGTGTGTGCTGCATTTAAGCAAACCAACTAATTTGGCACTTAACATGGCTGCATAACTGTTTTTGTCCCTGGTGTAAGAAAAAACTGGCAGATCAGTGTGTTTGGTTTTCCTGTTATGTGGTGGTTTTGATTTGATCTTGGACTTGTTAAATGCTAAGCGATAATACGCTCTTTGACTTTTTAGAGCGAGACTGAAGTTATTGTAAATTTTGACCCAGGCTGCATTTTCAGATAAAAGATATGGTAATTTCTTCTTCTTAGTGTCAGGGTTATCGTCAGGAACCCATAATAAACCTGCAAGTTTTTGCTTAGATTCTTGAGCTTAGTAGTCTGGTTTTCTTATATTTAGATGTTACACAGGGCTCATTTTGAGGAACTACCCTGTAGAGTTGTAAGGCTGAAGTTAACCTCGAGAAGGGTAAGCACCAAGTTGACAAAGCTTCCTCCGACTTAATCTCTTTGGTCCTTTTCATGTATTGGATTGTCTTGGTTTCACTTAATTGCAGTTCCTGTTTGTTTGAGGTCTCTGACCACATAGACAAATTCTAGTTTTGAATGTAGTGCCGTAGTGCGAGATAAGATCGTATTACAAAGGTCCGTGCAGTTTTTGGTACCTTACAAGGAAATGGCTTGTCAAACTGTAGGGCTTATTTTTCAGCATGTATATTTTTGGTCAAACTTGCAGTTTCATTGTTCTAAGGCTGTGTGGGATCTCCTAGTATGTATTTTAACATAAAAGTACAAGTGCATACAAGTACGTAGTATTATTTTATGGCAAACCTGCGTATAACGAAGTTACTCGAAGAGCAGAAAAGAATTTTCATATCTGCCAGATCGCAGTTAAAGAGATTAACTGTTGTTCTGTCTATATTTGGTTAGTTCTACATCTTGAATGTAACCTGAGATAAGTTCATTGATTAATTAGACTGCTCATGAAGTAACGAAGTGGCGTAGAACCACCTTGGTGGGGAATTCCCTGAGAGAGTCAAATAATGAGACCACAACCCAAGTAAATTATATACCTGGGGCTCTGGGATAGGGAGAGTCTGGAGCCAAATAAGGAGAGAATGAGCAGGAGGTTGCTGTGTCATACTGAATAAATGCATTAATCAATTAGTAGAAAGGAACCAGGGTAGTGAGGCTGGAGATAATACTACTGTCTCTTTTTTTGTAAGTAGGTATCCTGGCCTTAGCAAGAGGCGGCACCTCCTGTGATTTCTGCTGTTGCTGCTCCGCGTATCCCAAAGCGGAGATCAGGAATCGAATATGTGGAGCGCATGTCTTTAAATAAGAAGAGTTTTCAACTGGAAATGGAGGTTCTTTCTTGCTGCTTCTGAACCGTGACATTCTTAATATCACTGTCCTCCCGTTCTGTAGCCTCTAATAGATACTTAAATTAAGTTGTGCTGAACTGAGTGTTAAGTTTGAAAATTTCTGCTGTCAAGCGTCATGCTTTTGTCTCTGGTGTGACCTATGTGGTTAATTCCTCTACTCTTCAAAGGACGACCCTGATAACGTGCTCTGTGCAGAGCTTTATTTTTAAGGTGGGTATGAATGTTGTAAGACTTCAGTGTTGGTAGAGGATCTGCTGGTTAGCTGGATTTCACTATTGTGATTTAAATTGGGAACAAGACTGCAGGGAAATTCCCTTTGCTTTTATGGTTGTCTTCTTTAGCCCACTCACTAGGAAAGATCCTGTAGAGCAGGATTTGCTCTGCGTTGCTGCAGCACGTAGTTTTTCCTACAGATTAATACAATGTGGTCTTCTCTGAACCAAGTGAGCAAGAATGGGATGGCACCTCAGCTTTGTCTTCTGCTTGTCCTCACCCTTGCTATAACAACCTTATTTTGCATATTAAGAGCGCTACGCTTTGCATTTGCTTTGCTGTCCTTTTGCTTTTGCAAAATGGTTCTTTACAGCGATAAAGCCCAAAGGAAGAAAGTTTCTGGCAGTATCCGTAGGAGTTGTAGTTGTAGTTCTTTACTGTGCAAATGCTGAAATCTATGTATTGCTTTAATGTTTCTTGGAGCTAAAATATTTTTGGATAAACAAAGCATTTCACATACTCTATAAACTGCTTGCAGGCAACCCTTAGCCTCAAACTGGAATGCAGCCATTGTGAGCGCTGCAGTGTGAACAAGGAGCTCTAACACAGTCAGGAGCTGCGAGTGGGAGGCAGTGGGGCAACATGTAATTTCTAAATGTTAATTTTGATCAGAGTATCAGATTCCAAACCAGTTATTTCATGAAGAACTACTGAGATCCGTCACCAGATTTTTTTTTTCTGAAACAATTTGCAGTTGTATTTTTTTCCCCCAAATAGTCACTGCATCTTGCTGTATACCGAATAGGAACATTTATCCTACAAAATGAACTTGAGGAGTGCTGGCTCAAAAACAGCTTTAGCAGGTTCCACTGTAGAAGTATAGCCTGGAAATGATAGCAGAAATGAATTTGGTAAGGCAATCTGGCAAGGATGGTTTAGCACCAAGTACTTGGAGATAGCAAGATGTGCATTCTCCTGAAGCAGCGTTGTCATTTTTCATCTCGGGCAGTGCTATGAACAGCTCTATAATCTGTTGGCAATGTTGCTGCTTTGTCCTTTTATTCTGTAGGCTGCTTAAATCCTGAAGGGCCTGTGAAGTCTGCGTGCTTGTCCATTTGTTGAACTTTTTGCTAGCAGCGTTAGAGGCTAAGGTGATCAGCTTTTGGGGATATTGAGATACTTTTGCTTTTTCAGAGCTGGTGCCTCTCGTTCTAGACTTTAGACGCATGGAAGAAAGGATGAAGGAACTTCCTCTAAAAATCAGTTGTTCTGCCGTCTTTGACACTCGAAAAGCTTAGTACAATATCTTAGGAATAAAGGAGGGGCCTCTTCAGATGAAGTCTATTCCTGGAAGAGTTCTTCTTACAGAGGAAAGTCACATTTCTGGTATTTGTTATTTCATGGTAAGAAAGGCCCTGAAACATCTCCTTGTGTTATTACGGAGGGGAAGAAAGGCTTAAGTGTTCTCAAACCGTGGTTGTAACCTGGCTTCCTTTTGTAGAGAAACGGGGGAGAAAGCTGACAGCTTGTGGCAACTTAAAAATTAAAGTAGCAGTGTAAAAAAAAAAAAAAAAAAGGGCTGTTAAAAAAAAAAAAAACCCTTTTTTTGGGCCTTTTTTTTTTTTTTTCCCCCCCACCTTGTCTGGATGGAAGACAGGAGGGAGCAGGCAGCAGAGTCCCAAGAGGGGAATGGCACGTGGCTGCCCCGGGACAGACGGGTGGCCCTCCTTCCAGATAACGCTGTGCACACAAAGAATTTAAGTGGGATCAAGAGGAGGCTGAAAACTATTTGGATGAGAGGTTCCCTGAGTGCCGGCTCAGGAAACTCCTGGAGCTGAAAATAGTTACATTTCTCAGAGAGAAGGAACCTTATCCCAGGGCACGCTCTTTAGTTCCTCCTACGCCTTGATTCAACTGATGGACGACCGTTGTGAAATTTTTCTGTTGCGTGGGGGACAGCGTGGAAATAACAGCACTGAAGCTTGGGGTAACTGGATTCAAGGTTAGTAATAGTAGAGGCAAATGCCAAACTCATTTAGTGCCTGATATAGCACTGAGAGGAATCCCGGCAAAAAATAGCCACTGATCTCAGAGGCATTGGCTTCAGCCCGAAGGGGTTGCGAGAAAGATACCTAAGTGATTTTTTTTTTCTAAGCTATAGATCTCCGCGGATGGGAACTGCTCGGGATAAAGGATCCATTGATTCATGTGTCACTGGTGACTTCCATTTAACAGGTTTGTTTTGTTTTGTTTTGATTTTTTTTTTTTTGATTAAGTTTTCCTGGTCAGCAAGTTGAATTGAAAAGGAGGTTAAAATGGGACAGCTGCCCAACCATTGCGTACATGGCAGTGTTTGCTGTTATGATACTAGTACAATTTTCTTGTAGGTCTTCTATGTAGAAAAGCCCTAAGTACAAAGCACTGAATCATATTTTAATGGCTAATTTTTTTTATTTTTTTTTTAGCGAGACATCTCCTTTATAAACGTCAGTGTCGCCCGTTAACAACACATTTTTGTATACTTGGAAGATAGATAGTTAACTTCCGCAATAGGTAAAGGAAAGATGCTTGGGCACTTTTTTGTTATATTTGTCAAATGAGTGGAGAATTTTTTTTTTTCTTTTCACTGCGGTGGAGGTCTTGCTGTGCATTGTGAAGCAGGTTGTTCATTAGTTTACATACAAAGCTTGAGTGATAAGTGCAAAACTTGCCAGCACGTCTCTCCTGCCCTCCTATTAAATGTCCGCTGACCTCTCTGCCTCACTGGTACTTTGTGAATTTTACTGTACTTCACGCAATGCACTGAGTGTCCTCGGAGGAACAGTGAGGCCAGAGCTAACTGCTGCCTACCTGAGACACAGGGCAGTTGACAAAGGAGACATTCAGCCACCAGCAGAGGATCATGTTCCAGTAGCAAATCTGTGAGCTAAAGCTCTTAACCCTGCTGGAGTCTGAAAACCACATAACAGAGATCTGTTTTTGTGCCCCACTTACTTCACTTAACCTCTT